AACTGAAATTATTGAAAGATTTTTTAATTTTTATTTTAATATACGAAAATGTTTAATAATTAATGACATGTGTTAATTTTTATTTAGTATAACATGTGGGGTGTCAATTCGAATTCACAGTCTCTTAATTGGAGATATATGCCAATTATCATAAGTATGCTCGTTTTGACTATATGAGTTTGTTAATTTGAACATAATTCTTAATACTATTTTAAATATTATGATTTACTTCTCTCCTCTCGGTAACCCAAACTTAAATTATAAATAAAAAATAAAAAATAAAAATGTTTTTTAAAAAATTAGCATCTCCTTCCAACACCATTCCCAACCTAGAGCTATAGCTTGGACGAGGTGAATCTATGAAGCATGGGCTTGGGCAGCTGGGCCTTTGGGAATTGACCTTTAGTTTTTTTTTTTTTTTTAAATTAAACTAAATTTAAACCATATGTCGTATGGTTTTGTTTTGATGTGTGCATTGTGGTCAAGCTCAAGCTAATAGAATAAGAAAATTCCCATGTTTGAGAACTATCAAAGAAGTCGGGTATGCCCCTCTAGTCACCACAATCAGTGCCGTTAAATAGGCATCTAGCCCACTTCATCCCAAGCCCACGTCCACATCCCATAAATTACATATCTCCAACTTTGTTTTTGAGTTATTAAAACTTTTCAATCAACCTCCATTTAAAATAGTATCATTTTCTTAGTGATCCAAACGGTCCGACCTTCTAATAAATAATATATGCTTCAAATCAATCCAGTTATATTTATGTCAGACATTTTAAACCTAGAGAAATTTTTTTAGTTTTTTTAGTATAACAAATAAGATGGGAAAATTCGAACTCATGTACCAATTATCGTTAAGATAAGCTAATGCTGACTATGACTGGTAGCACGACGATAAAATAAAGAAGAAACCAAGAAAACGAAAAAAAAAAATGGGGTCAGCAATGTGAATTTGACTGGAACACATGATTAGGAAGATTTATTCAAAATGTTTAAAAAAAAATAGTACGATGGATTACACATACGACATGCCATTTGCTTGTCCAACACTACATTACACATCTGACCTAATACGCGTAACCAATTCATACAAATAACTTAATTAAATTAATTAATCTAATTAATTTTGCTTTTCCCTCTTCTCTTCCCTTCGCGTTTGAAAGCCCCCCAATATGTTCGATTCCTCCACTCGCATTTCTCCATCGCCACGCATTTTCCTTTCCAAATCCCCAAACCTTCTCTCTCTGCAACTCTCAAATCCATGGATTCCGTCCAGTCCTTCAAGGGCTACGGCAAGGTCGACGAGCTCGAGCATCAAGCCTTCCGTCGGAAAACGCGCCGCCGACTCATCATTCTTCTTCTCTCCATCGTTCTCCTAATCGCCGTTGTCATCGGTGCCGTCGCCGGCATTCTAATCCGTAACCGGAACTCCTCCTCCTCCCCGCCCACCACCGCCGGTCCTCCCACAGAGCTCACTCCCGTCGCCTCGCTCAAAAGTCTCTGCAGCGTCACTCAGTATCCCAGCTCCTGCCTCTCCTCTCTCGCAAACTCCAACACCACCGATCCCGAGATTCTGTTCAAGCTTTCTCTCCGCGTCGCCTCCGATGCGCTCTCCAAACTCGCCGATTACTCCTCCACCCTCGCTTCCACTACCGATGACCCGAAAATCAGAGACGCAATCGGAATCTGCCGGAGCGTTTTCGAAGACGCCATTGACACTCTGAACGACACCGTTTCGTCCATGGAAGTGGATCGCCGTGGCCAGAAGTTCTTGTCGCCGTCGAGGATTGAAGATCTGAGAACCTGGCTCAGCACCGCCATCACCGACCAGGAGACCTGCCTCGACGCCGTCCGAGATCTCAACCGGACGGCGGTTCTAGAAGATTTACAAGCAGCAATGGGGAACTCTACCGAATTCGCCAGCAATAGCTTAGCGATTGTGACTAAAATTCTGGCCGTGTTGGCCAATTTCAACATCCCAATCCACCGGAAGCTGATGGGGTTCCCGGAGTGGGTGAGCCCCGGCGACCGGAGGCTTCTGGAGGAGAACAATGTGACGACGCACGTGACGGTGTCGAAAGATGGGAAAGGGGACTTCTCGACGATCAAAGAGGCCGTAGCGGCGGTGCCAAAGAAGAGCAAAGAAAGATTCGTCATATATGTAAAAGAGGGAGTATACGAAGAGAATGTGATTCTGGATAAGAGCAAGTGGAATGTTATGATGTATGGAGATGGCAGAACCAAAACCATTGTTTCCGGCCGCCTGAACTTCATCGACGGCACTCCCACCTTCTCCACCGCCACTTTTGGTAACCTATTTAATCACCCTTTTTCTCAATTGCTTCATTTCATTTACTTTTGCATAATGCATCCAGTCCAATCCAATCCATGTCTGCCATGTTCTTATTCTCGTTTAAACTTTATACCCTTTTTCTTGTTCTTGGCCTTTTTTAAGCCTCTGCCCCCAAATCGAAAACCCTTAAAATTTAAGGACAATTAGTGTAGTGTAGACTATAGTGAGGGGATGATGAGCCATTGCCCCTTATTTTCAGAAACCTCACATGGCCTACATGTCAGCCATGTGAACCCAATTTCCCCCACTTTCCCTTTTGGCCGGCCATTGATCTTTCCATGTGAATTGGCTTGTGTCTGTTCCCATCACATCATTACTAGACATCTAACCTCTTTCAAACCTAAAAGTTTAAACCAATGAATTAAATAATTTTAATTTATGTATTAGATATCTATCCTTTTATCTTCTAAAAAAATTTGTGAAAATCATTCCAAAAAAAACTCATGGAAATCATAATAGATAGAGAGGGAATGACAATGTAAAGGTTCGAACATAGAATGACACTACGAAAATAATCATAAAATTGTGATTGTGTGTTCTATCAATCTTGAACTGAGTGACAAACTTAAACTTACAGTAACTATATGAAAATAACATGATGATATACACATAATAATCTCAACCCTTTTTTCTCTGATTTTGTGTGTTTGATTTTGCAGCTGTGGCTGGCAAAGGGTTCATTGGTAAGGACATGGGGTTCGTTAACACCGCCGGTCCGGCGAAGCACCAGGCCGTCGCCTTCCGGTCAGGCTCCGATCTCTCTGTAATGTACGGCTGTTCTTTTGATGGCTATCAAGACACTCTCTACACCCACTCAAACCGTCAATTCTACCGCGACTGCGACATCAGTGGCACCATCGACTTCATCTTCGGCAACGCGGCGGTGGTGTTCCAGAACTGCAACATCCGGCCAAGGCAGCCGCTCCCCAACCAGTTCAACACCATCACGGCCCAAGGCAAAAAGGACATCAACCAGAACTCCGGCATTTCCATTCAGAAATGCACTTTCGCTGCCTACAACGACAGTCTCAGCGCCCCCACTTACTTGGGGCGGCCATGGAAGGAGTTCTCCACCACCGTGATTATGCAGTCCGGGATCGGTGGGTTCCTCCAGCCGGTCGGGTGGAAGGAATGGGTCAGCGGGCAGGACCCACCCAGCACCATATTTTACGGCGAGTATCAAAACAGTGGGCCGGGAGCGAACGTGGAGAAGAGGGTTAAATGGGCCGGTTACAGGCCCAGTCTTACCGACGTCGAGGCCGGAAAGTTCACCGTTGGGTCCTTCCTCCACGGCGAGGATTGGTTGCCGGCGGCCAGTGTAAAATTTGATACATCCTTGTGATCAAAGTCTCCCTTTAAGGGAACGACAACACATAGAATAAGAAAAATCACACGTTGAGAAGTTTAAATTAATGTAATTTTTTTTCCCATTTTTGTTGGGATTTTTCTTGCCCCGAGATATTCTTTGTTATAGCCAATTGTGAAGTTAGATTGGATTACGACGTCGTTGAATGTTTGCTTTTTAAGTTCAATATATAAATGCGTGAATTCTTGTGGATGGATAGACATGGACTGATTCTTCTTCATTTGGAGGCAAAAAGATTATTATTATTATTATTTATTTATTTATTTATTGATCAAATTCATTTCTTAATTGGTATCAATTATAAATGACGTGATGTAGTTTTCCATTTTTCTCTATCTTTGGTTTCCTGACTTCTATAAATAAAAATTAAACAATTTGATAACTAGTTTTTAAATTTATTCTTTTAAAAATAATAAAGCAAAGCATGTTTGACAAATTTTCAACATTTAAGTTAAAGAAAGAGTTATTTTATTTTATCTATTTAGTAAAATAAGGTACTTTTATCAAGGGAAAAATACATTTAAGTTAAAAGACAGAGTTATGAAGAGAGAGAAAAGTTAGATAGTGAATTATTTTAGTGATATTCTAACAAGAGAAAAAAAAAAGTTAGATACTAGGGGTCATGTTAAAAGCAATGTTTATCTTTTTGGCCGATAAAAAGTTAGGGAGCGACATAGATTAGACTTTAGGAACAGAAAATTATAAAAGTTATATAGAGTTAAATTTGAGAGAGATAAATGTTAAAAGGATATAACTAAAAGGAAAAATAATCTTTTAGTCTATGAAGTTTGGAGTAGGTATCTATTTTGATCCAAAAGAGAATGTACAATACGCATAAAAATATGATTAAATTAACATATTTTGCTAAATGTATAGTTAACAAATTCATTGCCACGCCATTTTAACTTTAGTCAACTAACAAAGTATATCCCAAGGACCATTTTTAACAWTTTTTCTAATTCTAGTGATCAAAAGATTTTAAAAGGTCAAATAGRCACTCACTCCATAGCGACGAAAAATGTATTTTGTATAATACAAAATGATATAGAGGAAAATTTTAAAGAGACATAAGTGAGGGAGTGAAAAACAAGTTATTAAATTTTGGTAAATTTTAGTAAGGGAAAAGTTAGGAGATAAAATTTGTAGAGAATAAAATAAGATAGAGAAATAAACAAAAGTTGTAGAGTGGAATAAATGTAGGAAAATACGAGCGAGAAAGATAAGTTAGAGCCAAGAAGAAAAGGGATATGGAGAGTACCAAAAAAATAGTGAGGGGTAAAAATGTCAAGCAAGAGAGTAAAACATATTGTCTTGAAAAGGAAAATACTTGTTTTAAATTTCAAAAGAATTAAAAAAAACTTGTTTTAAGAAATAAAAAGTAAAAAAAAAATAGAAAATGGTTAATTCGATAAAATGAAAAAGAAAATTTAAAATTAAATTTGATTTAGTTACTGATATTCAACCATATATACATACATATGTAGATCTAAGAATTAGGAAAGTAGCAACGGTCATAATTTCTCAATCTCGTCGACAAAGGGAAGGAAATAGTTCAGCGGAGCGAACGAGATTTATTTTATTGCATGAAGCGAACTAAAAAAAGAAGAAAATATAAAGAGAAAATAGTGTAGGAAGGAAAAATGTCCGAAATTTACGTCTCCGCGACCGCATCATCGATTTCCCTTTGCGCTGTCTTCGTATTTGGCTGACAATTGCTATTTACAAAAGCGAAAAAGGGTGTTGAGAGAGTGCTGAGATCGACACAGACACACAGATTCAACCAAAGTCGTAGTCTGTGTGCGCCAAATCCATCGAATCAAATCGTAAGTCGTGTTGATTTTGGTGTTGGGCACATCCGAGAAATCTGTTTTTTCCCTTTTCGATCAATCTCCTTTGCTTTTCACTCCGATTTTTATATTACATCTTTCAACCTCATCGATGCGGAAGTACGCTCGCGTTACCGCCACTGTTGGCGATCTTCTCAAGCGCTCCCTCCGGTCTCCTCCCCATTCCCATTCCCATTCCCGATCACGCCTCTTGTCATCTTCCCCCATTCTCGATCACCCCTCTTCTTCTTCATCCATGTCGTCCCCTTCCAATCCCGCTCAGCCGCTTTCAGTCGCCACCATTAACGCCAAGGTATTGTTTTCGATACTGCCCGATTGGGTTCACCGTTGGATTGGGGTTTCCGTTTTCAGTTTGGGTAATTTGTTTGGCGATTATGTGATTTCTGTCGGCATGCACTGAAGGGTTCTTTCTATTTGGAGTCTAAAATATTGGGTATTGTTCATTCTTCTTTTTATATGCTTGCTGAACTTTTTCGTATCATTTTATGTCGCCTCATCATATATCAGGGTTATTTAATCACTTCATCTACCGAGTTTGTGGACATATCTCTTCCCTGTTTGGAACAATAGGTCTGCTTTGATCATGTGCCGTATTTGTATCAATATCTGAAAGCCGCTCTGTCTGAGTAGATTTTTCTYGAGATTAGACAGGAGCTGTAATTCAATATATCCAATTGCTGTTGAGTTTCGTTGTTGATATATATGTCTTGGATAGTTTTATGCAATTCTCCTTTTTGGTTGATACTCCATCTAATTCGTTTTAAGTTTCAACCGTGTTTAAGTTCTGTTTTGAAAAGTTTGTCTCTCTATCTGTGCTGGTCATTCAACATTTTTGGCCCTGCCTTGGCTATATTTACTCTTATTTTTCTTTTCCCAGGTGCTCAAATGCGAGTATGCTGTCCGAGGTGAGATCGTCACGCTTGCCCAGGTAATTTGACTGGCTATCACGTAGAGAGCTGGATTCCTATATTTGTGTAAGGATACAAGCCTAAGATGACAGAAAGCAACCGGGAGCTTGATAAAGTTAATTATATCATTTGTTTTGAAGTATAAACTATCAATCTTCCTTACTGATCAGTAAAGAATTGCATTTCATTAGTTTAGTGTGACATTTTTTTTCCATCTAATTGTCTTTTTTTTTCTTGCACTTCTTCTGTAGAGATTGCAAGAGGAGTTATTGGCTAAGCCTGGTTCACATCCTTTTGACGAGGTATGGATATTTCTATTAACAGATTATCAAAATGCGGATTTGTAGTGTACTACTTGTTTACCTTTTGAGTTGGACGTTCTTTAACCAATCTATGATGTTGGTTTCTTTGTAATTCATGATTCCATCAAAAGAATGTGAAAATATCTCTTATGGGCATCCAACTACAAATCAAATGCTGTCTAATTAAAAGCAGCGGAAATTTAAATGAAACGGGCAATCAAAGCTGGCATTCTTTGTAGTGCACATRATGTTTTGTTAACGAAATTTTATGTTTGGCTTTTAGGCCTAGGCCTTTTCGCTGCAGGCACTTGATGACACTGGACTAAATGGTCATAACATCATAGGCTAACATACAGCATTTGTTATTTTGCTTCTATGAACATTGTGTTATTATTTCATACAGATACTTTACTGCAATATTGGAAATCCTCATTCCCTTGGTCAGCAGCCAATAACTTTCTTCCGTGAGGTTTGTTTGCAATATTTTACTAGTATATTTTACATCCGAAGGAAATATTAATATGATATTTCATTCTTAGGTTCTTGCATTGTGCGATCATCCTGCTATTTTGGACAGAAGTGAAACACAGGGTTTGTTCAGGTCTTGGAGATTTTTTTCACCTTTATAACTATAAGAACTGTGAAGTGGATTCTAGAATACTGAAAGGCTTGTTATCATTTTTTCTTTGGAAAAGATGGACAATGCAGGAAAATTGTAATGTGGTTTTGTACCTAAYGTTGGAAAGTAACCTTGTACCAGTTTTTTAGAGGCTAATCAGTAATTTTGAAAATGGAACAGTAATTGTAATGTTACTTGCTCGTGATTACGTGAACGATGTGGAAGTAATTTTTGAACTTTTATGCGTATTATACACATCTAATCCTCCATGTACCATTATTGATTTATAATAAAGCTAAAGCACCTAATAATGATGGTTGTAGATTTGCATTTCATCTTTACCATTTTTTCCCGCCTTGTAAAGAGCATGGCATGTCTATAATAAGCTAACTTGAATGAAGCTTGAGGCTGAGTCCTTCCCCCTACTCAAACTAAATTTCCGAAACCTATTTCAGTGCTGATGCCATTGTGAGAGCTTGGCAAGTTCTAGATCAAATACCTGGAAGAGCAACTGGTGCATATAGTCATAGTCAGGTCATCGAGAACACCCATTTGAGAAGATAGTCATGTTTAAGCTGTAGTATTATATTGCTGATGAATCTATTTATTTACTTCTCTTTTCACATCAGGGTATCAAGGGTTTACGTGATACAATTGCTGCTGGAATTGAAGCTCGTGATGGATATCCTGCTGATCCAAATGACATTTTCCTGACAGATGGTGCAAGCCCAGCGGTAACCTCCAACTTTCTACCTTAATCAAAAGCAATATTTTTCCATATTAAGCTTGATAATGATCCCGGTGTTCTTTCTCCTGCCAGGTCCATATGATGATGCAATTGCTTATAAGATCAGAGGGGGATGGAATTCTATGTCCAATTCCTCAATACCCTTTGTACTCTGCTTCAATAACTCTCCATGGTGGCACTCTGGTATTAAGCCTTTGATCAGTGTTTCAAACTGACAAAAATTGTGGTCGTTCTAATGTGCTAACTTCTAGCTAACCTATAAAATCTGTTCTAGAATTACTGGCCAGGGGCCTGCGATTCCTTTAGCATACAGTTTTGGTCAACTTATCTTGAGCACTGTAGAATTTTAAGTTTTGTTCCTTTCATTGTAAGGGATTGTGATAATCATCTGGTTTATGCAGGTCCCATACTATCTTGATGAAGCAACAGGGTGGGGATTGGAAACTTCTGAGCTTAAGAAGCAACTGGAGGCTGCCAAGTCCAAGGGTATTAATGTTAGGGCATTGGTGGTAATAAATCCTGGGAATCCCACAGGACAGGTGCACTTCATACTGCCACTTCGTCTCTTCTGGACAAAGAAATATATGTCCTTTTTTAAAAACTTTACTTTGTTGGAAAATGCCTGCAGGTCCTGGCTGAGGATAATCAACGGGCGATTGTGGAATTTTGCAAACAAGAAGGCCTTGTGCTTCTTGCAGATGAGGTTGGTAGATCTGTCAGAAGATAGATATATGAGATGCATTTTGGACCAAAAGATGAAATGATTGATTCTCGACCTTTACAAGATTAATATATCTTGTCTACCCTTCTACAGGTATATCAGGAAAATGTTTACGTTCCTGATAAGAAGTTCCACTCGTTTAAGAAGATCTCCCGGTCTATGGGCTATGGCAATGAGGATTTCTCATTGGTATCTTTTCAGTCAGTCTCTAAAGGTAATATGACATTTTTTTTAACTTCAAATTTGCTGATGAAACATAGTTTGGGCATCATAGTTTGGGAGTAATCGTATTGCATTAATTAATTTCAGATGTAAGATAAGAGGCACTTATATATTTATGCATGATGTAGGTTATTATGGCGAGTGTGGAAAAAGAGGTGGTTACATGGAGGTTACTGGATTTAGTGCTGAGATAAGAGAACAGATATACAAAATGGCATCAGTGAATCTGTGTTCTAATATTTCTGGCCAGATTTTGGCAAGCCTTGTAATGAGTCCTCCAAAGGTTACGTTTGCCTCTCTCTATCTAACACGTTTTTTTATCTGTCATTCTCTTCCATGGGAGGGACAAATGGGAATGTGGATTTCTTTTAAAAAAAAAGAAACAGAGAATGTCATTCAAAGGGGCCACAGCATTCGGGTAGACTTAGGAATTTGGATTAGTAGGATAAAGTTTATTTATGTCTCTCCTTCAAGACTTGGAGTTGAACGTCCTGGCATTTGGGTAGGCATGTGGGYTATTTTGCTTTTGATTTGTTCGGGTTAGAAATTCAAAGCTTTTGGTTAATCTGACTTTGCATTATGATGTCACGATTGCGTGCTCTTGCTACTTCATATTAAGCAAGGTAGATATATGTGCAGGTCGGAGATGAATCCTTTGAATCATACTGTGCAGAGAAGGATGGAATACTCTCTTCCCTGGCAAGGCGTGCAAAGGTCAGTAAATTGACRTAGACTAACGATTTTTSGGTTGGTGAGATAAATTTTTTTCTCAAGTGTCCTGAACATAGCTTAGGAACATTAAMTCAGGCAAAACGTGGGATGCCAAATACAGTTTAGAACTATGGGAGGTAAGCATGTGCTGCGACATCCTTCAACAGTGAACTTAAGCAATATAAATATTCTGTCACTTCTTAATGGGAAACCAACTTTCATCTGAACAAAGTACAATGAGTGGTCCACAAAGAAAAAGGGCCCGACCAAAAGAGTACAAAGCTCAACATTAACAACTAAGAAGCTCAATTTTTGGTTATAAAAAAACCAAGGGATATTTCAAAATAAGTTTGATCTGAAATCCCACGACAGAAGCATTAAAACACGTTGAATTTCAGAATTCAGACATCCTCTCGTGAACTCTCTCTCACAATAATGTCTTCCTATTCCTTTCCAACTAGAAAAACCACATAGAGCACGGCCCTGAATAATTTCACAAAATACATGATTTTTGTACATAGGCTAAAGTGCAATTCTGCCCAAGGGACACCTCCATTGTCTTTATTTGCTTCTCTTTGATGGAAGTTGCTCTGGTGTTTAAGAGGCCAAAATCACCTTAAATGTTTGAGATTTGTGTTTGTTTTATAATGGCTATGCATGTCTTTCCATTTAAACGTAATATGGGTTGCAGAATGACGACTAATTAGTTAGTGTTAATGAGCTTAGCCCATAAAATRTTACAACAGATTTGCTTCCTCACCGGCTGCCCTTGCCCTTATTTTGCTTTCATTTCCTATCGTAGGCACTAGAAGAGGCTCTTAACAACTTAGAAGGTGTGGAGTGCAATAAAGCCGAAGGGGCAATGTATCTCTTCCCACGTATTTACCTGCCTGAAAAGGCAATCAAAGCAGCCGAAGCTGCCAACACAGCCCCTGATGCATTCTATTGTCGTCGCCTCCTTAACGCCACTGGCATTGTTGTCGTACCAGGTTCTGGTTTTGGTCAGGTTAGTTTTGTTTTTCTTCTAATCTTACTGTAGCCATATGGCTGAGACTCTAGTGTGAAACATGTCTCTGATTCATCCATGTGGCTGCTTTCTTTGAAGGTTCCTGGTACCTGGCATTTTAGATGCACCATACTCCCTCAAGAGGACAAGATTCCGGCAATTGTTTCACGTTTGACAGAGTTCCACAAACAATTCATGGAAGAGTTTCGCAACTGAGTTCCTGCTGCGGAACCAATAGAAATGTTAAACCCATTCCCCCCCTTAAATTATGAGCTATCTTTTGTTAGGGCGCTAAATTTTCCATAATAAACCAACCTCCCAATTCCTTCCTWACTTATTACCTCAGAACCATTTGAAATTGTCTCAAAGTTGGGGAATGAAATCCAATCTGATTGTTTGAAACTGGAAGAAGGTGTCTCTCTTCCTTTTACTCTTTGCTTTTCTTTCAAGAAACAACAATAAAAATTAGAAAAAGAAAAGAAATTTCCTTCTTTCTTCCATTTTTTTCTTTTGTCACTGTAAGAAAAGTTGATACAAGTGTTTGTGTTCATTGTTCTATTTTAGTGAGTGTTACGGCAAGGGAAGCAACCACAAGAAGAGGTACTGTGGTCTGAAAAATAAGAGTGTCGCCAGTTTAGCTTCCTGGCTTGCTCTGTGGCTTTCTGAATCTGATCAGAATGCTGTTGTCTGGCTGCTTCTCTCCATTCCTCAGCTTTTCTGTGGACTATTGCCAGCCTCTTCATCAGCTTCTCCTCTAGATTTGATCTCATACTTTCGATTTTCACCTGCATTACCAATTTATCTGTTTATCCGCAGTCAACAAGTTTCACGAACAAATCATTAAAAACTAACGGAAACTAGCAGAATCTTCTGTTTGCATGTGAATATGTAAAAGGTATTAAAAATATTAGTAAAAGTTAATAAAAATGTTTAGCTTTAGTAAAATATTAATAATGTTACAGGGTGGAGATGAGGCATCAACCAAACCCTGCTCTCGAGCATGACAGAGCTCAATTCAAATAAACAAATTCCATTTTTTTTTTTCATTTTTCCAAATGGGGTGGTTTGCTGTCATAAATTGTTGGGAAGATGACTCGTAGCTTTTATGTTGTTGTTTTAATGGAGGCATTTGCAGATACGAGAGATACTTTTGAAATCAGGTGAGCACAGAGACAGAGGTGGGCCAGTCAAGAAGACAACAGAGAGAGAACGACGATTAAGGTGGCTGAAGCTGAACCATGGCGGATGGCTCGAGGAAGAAGACGAAGCCAAAAACATGAAAAAACACACCCAACAAAAATATAAAAGAGAATTTATCGATAATCGCACCTCAAGTTTCTTGGATTGAGCTTCTGCTTTTGCATTTTGGAGGTTTACCCAAGCCTGTATCTTGGCTTCTTCTCTCTGATATCTGAAAATTCGTAGGAATCTACTCAAGTCTGATCAATGGTGAAAAATAAAACTGTAAAAGGGGATAAAATATTCTTACCTGGTGCAGCATTTGGTCTTCTCCTCTTCTTCCCAAGCTGCAGCTCTGGAATCCGATATACTTTTCCGGCATTCGTTGCCGGTTTCGAAGTGTCTCAAGCTTTTGGATATTTCCTCCTCTTCCTCCTCCCTCGAGCTCCAATTCGATGCAACAGAGTCGAATTGAGTTTGAAGCTGTAGCTTTGCCAAATGGCATTCCTGCAACTGGGAAATGTCGATGGTGGCGCTATCCCCGTCGGTGCTGACCACACCGAGCGGCCCGGATCTGCTTGCCGGTGTGTTATGGCGCGCCGGGGAAGTGCTTTTGAATGGCGTGGGGCACCTTGAGGTGGTGGAACTGCCCAGAGGAGTCATCTCTGTTCCAATGTCTCTGTGTTGAACCTCATTAATGGCGCCTGCAACTTTCATCTTGTTAATGGGGGGACTGTTGAACAGAAATCCTTCCTTTGTTGGCAAAATTGGCTCTACATTGTCCATGAACTTATCTGCAGAACGATCGAATTTAGAGTTGAAAGAAACAGAGTTCAGCAGAAAACAGAGAACGGCTTGAAAAGTTGCTAGTTTTTTCCAAGCTACAGTAGAACGTTGAAAAAGTACAGCAGAAGTTTAGAAAGAAAAGTGGGTGCGATGAGACATGATTGGAGAAGAAAAGGGGTTCTGCGTAAAGTTGAAAATTTAAAACAGGAAGAGAAAAAGATGGTACCTTTTAGATGTAAATCAGAAACTGCATTAAAAGCTCTTAATGGGTTGCTGTTATTTCGTGCCAAAGTTGGAGATTCAAGAAAGCCAAAGACTGTCTTAGAAACCTTTTCCTCTGTAACTCGAGACTTCTCCGCAAAGACCTCAGCTTGCGRCTTAAAGTTATCACATTGCTTTAGTAACTTTGTGGGCTCCGATGCCTTCAAGGCGTGGGCTGGCGAGTCATTGCAAGGGCTACAAACCAGCCACTTCTCTGCTTCGTCCCACTTTGAGGGGACGTTCTTTCTGGAAAGGTTTCCAACACTGAACCCAAAAACAGGTCTTCCAGGAGTGGAAGGAGACTCTGCAACTCGTCTCTGAGTCACCGAGTTAACTCCATCTCTCCTCCTCTGTGTTGAAACTTGAAGGACGCCTCTGGTTTCTAAGCAGGGGATATTGTTCGCCATTGGTAATGACTTGACAAACTCGGAAGTTTCTTTGAGGTTGAGCTTGCAAAGTGGGTCATGGAAGGTGTCTGCAAAAGGGTCGTCCTTGGTTTTACCATAGAAGCTTCTCCTGCCCTCCAATGGCGGTTCCTGAATCAGAAAAACAAGAAGCCATCAATCAAAAGTTTGCAAAGCAACAAAACCAGAGAGCACAAGCATTGTATCATCATCATTTACCCCATTTGAGTCAAACATGGGAGGAGACTGAAAGTATTTGGGAGAGGTAAGATCCATTAATTGCTTTCAGGTTTGAAAAGTGAGCAACAGCAACAGAAACAGAAAGAGATGAAGCAGATGAAGTCTCTTTCTGGTTGTTTTTCAAAAGGGTTAACTCCTTTTCTTCTCTATCTCTCTCTTCATCATATATGATATATCATATAGATATAAAGCACTGTGGCACAAGAAAGTGACTGTTTTTGCAGTCAAACAGACTCCTCACTGTCCAACCCAAAAGCATTGACTACTTGGAATAATGGGTAGAAAAAAAATGCAGCTACTCACATGGGGTAGCCTGCAAAAGCCAAGCTTAGCCAAGCCATGCCTCTCTCTCTCTCTCTCTCTCTCTCTCTCTTATATTCAAAAAATGTTAAGAGTTAGACTGAAAATGCAGGCAGCAGGAGATGAAGAAGGAGACGAAACAGTACTTCCTCAAAAGGAGAGGAGGGGAGCCATGGGAGGGCAATAGAAAGAAATGGGCTCTCGTGAATCATAAATTTTGAAACTTGAAGAAAAGGTAAAAGTAACAATGGCTTCTTCTGCTCTCTCTGTGGGTTATTTTGTATTCTTTTTAGGAAGCTTCTTATGAGTTTTAGATGGGATTTGTTTAGATTTAGAGAGAGTGGGGGTGTTTGGTTTGTAGGCAAAAAGCTGGTTTTGTCCTGTTTTTCTTTACACAATAGTCTATAAGCATAGCTCTTTGTTTTGTATTTTGTCTCTGTTCCCAAAGATGCCTAGCTCCACCCGACAAGGTTTGTGGCGACAAAAATTATTCTGACATCTTTCAATTT